CTGCATGACTCATCCCTTTCTCGTGTGACTCGGCCCGGCTTGACTCACCGTCACTCAGTCAGCGGAGGCCGGGTAGCTCACTAAGCACGCTCCCACCAAGGCTGTGCGCGACTCGGACTACTATATAAGACTGTTCCCCATGTATCTGTACTCTCTAGTTCGTCCATCTTGCTACCCACATAGACGTTCTCTTTTCTTTCTTGTCTTGGACTTGTCTTTACTGCGTGACCCGGAGGTATCCGCCCTAGTGAGCCCCTAGCAGGTAGAGTCTGACCAGAGCATCCAAGCCATCACAACGATCTCATACACAGTCCAGTCCTCACCAGATTTGTCGGGTGGTGAAGCAGGCGGATTCTTGATGAGTGACTCGTACTCGTTGTTCATGCGCTCGGTGTTGTAGCCCTCGCTATAGATGCGCTGAGGCGGAAGATCTGGGTGGTGACGAAAGTACTGGCGAAATGGGAAGAGGTGAAGATGTATAGCTCCAGGCTCAGTGCATGCTGCCTTCATGACTTCGATTGGCTCGCGATACATCAGGCCAGGCACAGGGAAGACAGGTGCTTCCTTCTCGGAAGCATACTGGATGCCGTCACAGCCGATGCGGACTTTAACATCCGTGGTGTGCCAGCCATCAGGCTCTGTGACCGTCTCGCTTGATCCCTGATTGTTGGGCACCTTCTTATGGTCATTGAGACGATTGACCTCGACCCGTGCACTAAACCCTTTGAGATCGCTCAGCTCGAAATCATCTTTCAGAATGACATCATTGACAAGACGATTGAGCTCCATCTCGGACTTCAGATTCGAACCGGAGTAGAACCACGACATCAGGTAATACACTGAACGACTCAAGAATGGAGCATGGCTTGCAGTGGCTGCTGTTGAGGCAAAACGCGACCACCACGGATGAGAACTGTGCACGGTCTCGGTCCCGGGGGCTGTGGGATAATCGCAGAATGAAGCCGGAGTCGGCTCAATGCCGGAGATATCCGGAACGAATGAAGGCTTAGTCGCGTACACACGCCAAACACCATACTGATCAGGCTCAGTTGTCCACTTGGGCCCATGCGAGGAAGGGTTGGAATGGTCGGGCACGAGATGCGACTCGATTGGGTTGGTCTCGAGTTCCCCAGGTGGCTGAATGAATTCGCCATCATTGTCATAGAACTCGGGAACAGGCTCAGGCTCGGGTTGACGGCGCAGACGAGGTGGCTCAGGCAGCTCCTCTCGTAACTTGGCTGGAAGACGACGAGTGCGTGCGGGAAGGCCGGATGGACGACGTGGTGTTTCGGCGGGCTAATCAACGACTTAGTTCGGTACCCCACAAGAAATAAATTGAAATACTTGCCTCGGCAGTTTGGGGTTCAGGAGTAATGGGTCAATATTCCTCGATAGTAGGTTGAGCAATATCAGATCCCATGGATCCTTGAGGCTGCGAAGGTCGGGTAGAGGCAGCAGCAGCAGCAGCAGCTTGGCGGGTCGCGATCGCACCCTGGAGTGAATTCTTCGCACAAGGACATCGTCGCTGATGATTGTTGTAGCCTATCGGATCGGGAAAGGTTGCCTTGCAGGGGCAGCGATACATCACAGAATTAGTAGAAAGCGAACGAGAAGAAACGAAAGCCACAGAGCACGACGGGAGAGGGTAAGCAAGTCGTGTGCACTAGCCGGACGACTACAACACGCGGTCGACACAGCTCGTCCCGACTGCCCGAGGTTTCAAAGTCCCCAATATGGACTCGACAAAAGCGGGCACTGCCTAAAAGAGCTAGAACAAGCTCCTCACGTTCAGCGGCATACCTTTCGCCATCCCCGGCCGGGAAGCCCCAAAAGCTCCAAGCCCATTGATCATGAGGTAGGGAGAACGAGTGTCATAGCCTCAGAGTGAAAGCATACTGCTAGGTAAGAGCAGCAAATATATACGCGTGTTAATGGCCGTGCTAATGGTGGAGGTCGAGCGCTGACGTGCACGCAGAGCTAGGCGCTAGGCGCGTTGCGTTACGTCGCCACGTGTACACGACGGGCGGATGACTTGACGCGTCGCGCGTCATGCACCGCGCGCGCGCCGGTTTTCAGAGGTAAGTCGTGGCAGACGCGACTTGCCTCTTGCCACCACCATCCTCATCTCGCCATGGCGCAAGGTACGTGCCACGTCGCGCTCTCTCCCTCCTCCCTCTCCCTTCCCAGACCTCTCCTGCACCCATCCTCCCTCGTCTCCTCCTTCCCTCCCCAGT